TATACAGAGATGGATCGAGGATTTGAAGTTTATGAGTTCCTATGACGACTTCAAGTTTATATACAATCAAAAATTTATAGATGATTTGTTAATGAATATATAGGGTCTGTGCAAAAGCTACTAGATGGCACATGTATATAGGACATACTCTGAGCTGACTTAAAATCTCGGATCTGCTTCTGAGAGTGTTGTGTATTTTTTGTTTATATATAGGTTTGTATAAATGTGTAAATGAAACTAGAACTAAAATTGTTACAGAGGAGTAAGGGATATGGTGATACTTTGAACTTGCTGACTGAAAATCATTGATCTGCTTCTAAGTTTCTGCATTTTAGTTAGGATGCTAATCCTGTTTTATTTGGACAGATAGAGGAGTATTATTGTGATAAAGGTTTAAGTATTGTTGGTTACTTTCATGCCAATGAGAGATTTGATGATTCCGAGCTAGGAAGTGTTGCTAAGAATATTGCAGACCATATCTACAAATATTTCCCTCAAGCTGCTGTGCTCCTGGTACCTTTTTGTTGTTTGACATTTTTTTGTCTTTCGTATGTTTATTGAAAAGTTTGAATCTTTGAAATGTTGTTAGGAAAATTCTTAAGCTTAGAGTTTTACCGTTTCAGCTGGATAACAAGAAGTTTGAAACTTTATCAAAAGAGGGGAAAGATAGGAGTCCTGTAATGCAGGTCAGTACATACAAATTTTAACATTTTTCCTTGTTCATCTGATAATCGATGACAAAGTTCAGAGTCCTCAACCAATCTTTGGTGACTTTCCCAATTTCTTGATTGGAAGTGGAAGGTTCTTGCTATGGAGTAACCTCACTTGTCAGAATTCAACTCAAACTGGGAGTTTTATGGGATTGGCTACAGGAATCATAGCCAGTCTTCTGTTTATATAATAAAAAATCTAGCTGTTTTTTTCCCCATTTATATTTAACAACTCAGACTAATATGTAGCCTCATGATAGAATTAGCTGCTGCACTGTAGTCTCATTGATTTATTCTTTTTGTTACTAGTTGATTGCTGATGGTAATTACTCATTTCCTTGTGCTAGTATTACTTTTGATCATTTCGTAATCGTTCCCCTTATATTTTTTTTTTTGGATGATGGACAAGTAACAATTCATCCATCTATCATGTGGTTTCTGGTGATGAGTTCTAGTGGGACGGACACAAAAAGAAAGTGGGCCACATAAATCGGGACAGAGGGAGTAATTTGTATAGAAGTGTCAGGTCTCCTTAGGATGTATGTCTTGGTTTATTCTATCCTCTTGCACAAAAGGTTTACCCTTTATTTGAGCATTCAGGGATCAGTATTTTGGTTTCGATACATAGGTTCTTGGAACATTGGTATGTTACTGATTATCTCTTCCAACTTCTTCTAAGCACTTCATTTTAAGTAGAAATGGAAAACCAGAGATGGTGCTCTGTCTCATACTTGGCATGTATAACAGAAGTGAAGTGGATAACCTTTCAATGTTGAAGTTGTAGTTAGCGATTTAGAGAACATTTTGCCAGAGTTGCCTGAGCTTTTTAAATACCATGAAAGTTGCATTGTTTTATCTGTATTATTCTTCAGATGGTGGTGTATCTATTTCAGTTTTATTTCAGTTCGACTTGCATGACCTTTTGGTGAGGGCTATTTTTGGTAATGGTAGTCACTGAATAAATGGCTAACATGCTGGATTTTGAGATTTGCTGGTTTTCTATATCCTCTGAAGTAGAACCATGGTTTCCTTGGGATGTTTAGAGTTGTTTGCCCAGATTTGACCATTCATGCACTTTGTGCTGGCCTTTCAGAAGACTCAGTGTGCTCTAGTAGGCTTTTCGTTACATGACCTATTTCTTTGTGGTTTTTGCTTTGCATTTTGCATAGGCTAAGAGTTAGATTGAGAAAATATGTGTCTCTATATCAACTTTAATTGAAAACTAAAGCCTGTTCTATGTCTAGTTGATAGTTTGTAAAAGCTATTACCATCCAGATATTTGTTGTCACCTGGTTGAATTTGATAATATTAAACAGTGACCTGTCAATACTTGATATGAAGGAACATTTAACTGTGCCTGGCTCATTTGTGTGAATGGGACAGGAACTATTTGTCATCTTTCAGGAAAAGGGCCTTAACATGCTTAACAATAATTGGATGTTAACCCAATTGTTTTTGAACAGTTCGTCAATTGTTTGTTTTATATGATTAATGATACACCAATCGAATGCACCCATGGTAGTTCTAGTTCAAGTAATCATTGCACTACTAAACATCTTTCAGGAAGACTCGATATAACATGTTCTCCAGCTTATTGATATTTGCCTGTGCGTAGGCCATCTCGATATTATCTGTTTTTTACCACTTCTCCAATTTTCCATGAAATACAAGCAAGCAGAGTGGTCTAGATTTTGCTCCACGCTTATTTTGGTCCCCCTTATATGTTCGTAAAAATCCAATTTTTCATAACTTTCACATTGTTCTTGGTAGTTCTCTGATAGTTTACTCGTCTAGCTAGAATACTATAGTTCTCTTCACTATTGTTGTAATTATGCCCCTGATTCGTGCCTCTAAAGTAGTTCCATTAATGTAGCCTTTTGCTTCATGTTCAGCTTTACACCAAGGATGCATCTAGGAGCTGGAAACTAGTGGGATCAGATGGAAGCAGCCGTTTGAAAATTAAACAGCCATCAGCAAATGTCATCCTCCTAGATTACATTTCATCGGGGAAATGGAAGGATATTATAGATTTCGATGACCACCTTGATGACATTAGCAAGTAAGAGCTTTACCCTGTAGATTGATTGAACTCACAATATCTGCATTCTTTCTAAGAGATTCACATGTGTTTTTGCTTTTGCTCATCAAATTGTTAGGGACTGGGTGAACACAGAGCTCTTCAATTGAAGTTGCTATGTGTATCTCATTTTGTTTCCGTCTCTGAAGGGAAAGGATCCATCACTTTGGTTATAACATTGTGATCCAATAGAAGGCAGCCTGCAGGTTATATTCTCAAGAAAAGGCGATACATTTGTCAAAAGTGCTTCCAATTTTTTAGGAAGACTCGATATAACATGTTCTCCAGCTTATTGATATTGCCCTGTGCCTAGTCCATCTCGATATTTTCTGTTTTTACCACTTCTCTGATTTTCCATGAAATACAAGCAAGCAGAGTGATCTAGATTTTGCTCCACGTTTATTTTGGTCCCCCTTATGTAGTTTCATGCACATCATTTAGTTATCGCGTTACTTCCCAACCCCAACTTGTTGGAACTGAGGCATCGTCGTTTTACTGTCTTAGTGTAATGAGGGAGGAAAATAGTAAATTCTCAAAGTTTTAGCAAGTCCAGTGAAAAAAAAAGAGATGCTGAAATTTTACACTAGTGTGATTGTGGAACTAATGAAAACATGATTATGGGATGAAATTCACGTTCTAACACTGACTAATGTGTGTTTCTCTAATTCCATTTAGTTGCCCACAACCCTCAAGATGAAGTGTTTGTTTTTAAAGTTCGTACCCGAGATTTTTGATTAAGGATTGAAGAATATTTGCCATAACTTTTGATGGAAAAAAATAAATTCAACTATAAGCAAACGTATATATATAATTTAGTGATATTCTTGAGAAATTATGAAATCCATCGACACTTTCAACCTTCCTCTCTCGTTGGCCTCTTCCCTCCCTCTTGAGGTCATTTAGTAAAATCTCTCCTTCTCTATCTCACCTTGTAATCTTTTTCTCCGGAAAAATTCCAAAAAAGTAGAGCTCCTTGCAAACTAGTTTTTAGGTAAATTGTTGGACAAGTTTTTAGGTCTTGGTTCTCTATTCAGGTTTGACGTTTCTTAGAACTAATCGATCAAAATTGTGGTGGGATTGGGAGGCAATGAATGTATCATTGCATATTTGATACTCGATACATGTGTTTGGACTGTATCTATACGCTTATTTGATACTAGTGCATATTTGATACAAGATACATGTATCTAGATCGTCATATCTTCTTTTTCCTCTTCCTAAGTATGTATCTATGTATATTTGATATTGGATACATGTATCTAGAAATGTATCTATGTATCAGATTCATATATGCTACTTAAAAATGAAATTGTAAAACACAAATACATATAAATACAAAGAGGGAGATAGACGGGAGAGGGAGAGAGTAAAGCTAGAGAGTAGTGAGGTCATCGAGAGGGGAAGGAGAGAAATTGTCGCGACGCTCTATCTAAGCAAGTGAGATATAATGTATCCAACTTGAACTTAGGACACTTTATATAATTATTGAATATCTCATTTCATGTAGTGATACAGAAATATAATACCTTACATTATGAAGTTTTCTCTTTTTAATATATATATACTAATAAATACGATCATAATGAAATAGAATTAAAATTTTATAATTTATATCTTTAAACATGATCACGCTCGAAAGCAACAATTCTTTTTCCAAACGTCATACATCAAATTGTGTATATAAAGAAAAAGATGGTTCTTTTTCAACATGACCCTCCCAAAAAAAAAAGCTTTATTCAATAATTATGCAATGACAAAATAGCCTTGATTTTGGTTAAATGAATGTGGAAACTTATTCATTGTCAAATGCAATTGGACTTAACTATATTTAGTGTTTTTTTATTTAGAATTTTGGGAGAAAAAGGGAAAAAAGAAAATAATTACGTGTCTACAACTACAATTATTGTTATTATTACCATCATTATAGTTATGATTCAATTATTCTTATTGGTGATAGCAAGAGGTCAAACGATATCATAGCATATTTTTTTTTTTTTTTTTTTTTTTACATTTAAAATATGAATAAGTGTAAGCTTTGTGTTACTCTAACAAAATTGACGCAGACCATTCTACGTGGTACCATGATAGCAGAAGAAGTGAGATGGTGACAATTGAGAAGTTATCACTGAACACTCTTAATTATCCGAAGAAAAGACGTCAAATGGCAAAATGAAGACCATACCCTCATTTGGCTCCTTGTGGAGTATAGTCCATATCCAAACATCTTACTAAAAAAGGGGACAATATCTATGAAGTTTCAGCTAAAAAACAGAATGAGAATAAAAACTTCAAGGCTAACATCTTTAATTTCTACCGTATGATATTTAAGATTCACTGATTCAACTTATTTAAATTTGTGTCTTATAAAACTCAGCTAGCCTTTACTAATTTTATTTGTATTTTACTATTCATATTTATATGAATGATTTTTTTGTTTTTTTTACTCGTCCAAATTCTTGTAAGCAAATAAACCTTTATGTTTAACTTACACCTTCCACACTGCAAATCAATTACTATTATCTTACCAAGATAGACATACAACTTTAAAAAATATTGCACCTAATTTGGACCATAGTCACCATTTTAAAAAAAAATATAAAAAAATATAATACATATATATATATATATATATATATATATATATATATATATATTATCAAAATCTATCTCCTTGTTTCTTTGGAAAAAATATTTAATTTTGTCCTCAATTACATTATTCTTACTTATGTCATTAAAAAATCGTCTCGTATTCGTTCTTGTCATTAATAGACTTCGAATTTGATGGATTTTACATATTCAAACTACTTTTAAGAAAAGCTCAAAATTTACTTCTTAGCTAAGTAAAATTTGAACCTAACCTTAAGTTAAAATTCCATTAAAAGATACGTATGAAAATGACACTTTTTTCTAATGAAATGGATAATATCAGTCAAAGTATAATAATAAAAAAAAAATAGTAGTCAAAGTTGCTCAATTTCTTTGACTCTCTTTTACTTCCCTTTAATCCAACAATCAACAGGTTTTCTTAATGTTTGACAGATTATTATTAGAGGAATTGTTTTTTCTTATTTATGTATTTATTAAATTAAATTAAATATAATTTAATATATACTTTGAAACTGAAAGCATGAGAGACAGGTTGGAGACTGTGGTGGCCCATATGTTGATTCAGACTCGTCTTTGGGGCAAAATACATTGAAAATAATTGAACATAAAAAGCTTAGACACACTGATAAAATTTGTGGTACAGTGATAAGTATTTTTTTATTGTTATTTAGAAGTTTTGAGTTTAACCCTTTTTTCTGAATTCGTCTTTGTTAGAGAGTATTTCATATTCTAATATTAAAAAAATCAAATTAATGGTTAAAGACACATTTAAAGTATCACGGTTTGTGAGTTTTCTACTGAACTGTCAAGTGTTTACTTTCCTATCTGAACTAACTATTTATCACAACACACCTCAACTATCCGTTGTTCCGCTTTCTTATATGAAATTTCCCTATCATTCACATAGAAAAATGGAACAACGGATAGTTAAGGTGCATTGTAATGAATAGTTGATAATAATTCAGGAAACAAAGATGTACACATGATATTTCAAATTAAAAACTCATAAATTTTATAAAAGTTTATGACCATTATCTCAAAAAAAATTGACGCAAATTCAGATTTAATCGGACTGGGCTTGGGTATAGGATAAGGAAAAATTACATAATTATACAACTTAAAATATCATAATCTCTAAAATTCTCTATCGTTTAAAAAATTACAAAAATCTCTTCTCAGATACATCTATATCCCCTCTCGGATACATAAACCCTAAACCCTAAACCCTATCCTCTTCAGATATATCCTTATCCCCTCTTGTATACATCTCTTTTATTAAGTAATATATCATTTGCAACGTATCGAACAACCAATGAATATATATGACATGTCAACATGAAAATTCTGAGAGTTTTGTAATTAAGAGAACTTTTTGGGATATGATGTAATTGGTCACAAATATATGAAATTTGTGTTTTGTAAGTTATAGGTGTGTGTATATATATATATAGATAGACAAACCCTTCGAGGTTGCCCAGTGATTTGGGCTTGGGACTTCCATATTGGAGGTCTCAAGTTCGAAACTCGTTGTCAGTGAAAACAAGGGGTTTGCCTTCTAGGTCGATCTCGTCGTCGCACGGGCTTACCTAATGCGAGTTACCTCTTCTATGTGATTTACGAGCCATTGCATAGGAGCAAAAGTTTTACCATGTGCGCGATTACGAATTTCCCTTGTCAAAAAAAAAAAAAAAAAACACTAAAGATAAACAAGAAAAAGTTCAAACCCCCACCACGCCCCACTCCTCTCTTCCCCATACAATTGTTAAGTGTATTTTTTGTTTGGTAAAGTCCCCAAAGCTTCTTTCTACACTTTCAAAAAAAGCACTTCTTTTCTTTCTTCTCTCTCTCCACACAGTTTTCTTTGGAGGTCCCCCTCTCTCTTTATCTCTGTCAACAGTAGTGCTACTAATTCCTCATTGCTAAAGCAGAGAGAGACTCTAAAAAGTTTTGATCTTTGTGACACTTCAGGTACTATTCTTTAGACTACTGTTTTTAATTTTGAAATGGTCCCTGTGTCTTTCTGGATGAGTTTCTTTCATTACTTTGTTTTTTAGCATATGGGTCTTTCTGGGGAAGTTATTTGATCCTTTTGGTAGGGTTTTCTTGGAAAAAGCTTAGGTCTTGGCACAAGATCTGTGTACTTTTTCATTGACCCTTCTGTATTGCTTTTCTTGTTTATCTATGTGGGGTTGTGCTAGTTTTATGCTCTGTGGTGTTAAAATGGCTTTTGGGTGCTGTTGAATGTATGCATTTTTTTATTTGGTGTTCTGGTTCACTTCATGGTTCTAAGAAAAGATTTGGACTTTTGAGGTAAATTACTGAGATTTTAGCTCTTGGACATTTGTTTGCACAACTTGTAATTTGGGTCTGTGTAGTTAATTGCTTATTGATTGTGGATTTTGAAGTCATCCTGTTGCTTAAAGATCTATTTTTTTAGCTCAGAAATGTCTTTTGTTGTTTATTGCTGTAGTTTCTTATTTTGCGCGCACCTTGACTAATTTCATGTTATACTTGCCACCTACCACCAGCAATAGCTACCAGGTAACTCTGTCCACCAACGGTAGGAGCTAGGACATATGAGAAGAAATCACCTTAGTGTTTTTTGGTCTGTTGAAATTTGAACATGAGACCTCATGGTTCTCAAATCGCCTAGTAGTTTCTTTTATATGTTTTCCACTCTATAACAGTTTTGAAGTTATCTTGAGTTTTTGTCATTTGATCCTATGGATAACCTGGCCTCCAAGTTCACTCTATGTCTCTTGTGTTTAATACAGTTTCATACTTCCAATCTTGGGAACTTTTATGCTGTTTATGGAGCTTTTGATCATGATCTCTCTTGCTGATGACTAGGGTGTACATGAGGTGAACTTGGACGCTGTGTTATGGGTTTGGTCGGCCAGATTGCATTGAGGATTCGTTGTTCAATTTAATGGCGTCAACACCTTCTGTCAAGAGTTCACTGGAAAAGCTGAATAAGTCAGCTGGAATTCAAGCAGTGGAACGTAATCCTCGGAGATCAGCACCTTCCCAAGTTTCAAAGAGTAGCAATTCTGGGAGCACGACTTCCAAGGAGCTACAACACAATGATCGAGAAGTTGCATCTAAGCAACTTATGGCAGAAGCAACAACCAAAAAGAAGTCGAATAGCTATCAGCAAGTAGGATCTGCTGACTTATTGGTTGATAAGTTTGATTCGAGCTTATATTTGGGAAATCTGAAGCATGCTCCAAGCAGTGCAGCTTCCGCACCCTGTGAAGCAAAGGGCTCGCAATGCGCTATTGATCAGGAAAAGAAGGCATCAGAAAATGGAGCCGTCAAGGATAACTCAGCCTCAGCCAAAGTCAGTGATGGGGCCGGTAGCCTTGCAAAAACAAGTGGAAGTGCCAAAGTTAGCGATCGAGCTGATTTTGTTGAGAGTGGAAAGAGCAGCATCTGTAGGGGAAGCACAAGCACCGATGTAAGTGATGAAAGTACTTGCAGCAGCTTTAGCACCAGTATTAATAAACCCCACAAAGCTAATGACTCAAGATGGGAAGCCATTCAAGCTATTCGAGCTAAAGATGGAACATTAGATTTGAGACATTTCCGGTTGCTAAAGAAGTTGGGAAGTGGTGATATTGGAAGTGTCTATCTGTCGGAGTTGTGTGGAACAAAATGTTATTTTGCAATGAAAGTTATGGATAAAGCATCATTAGCTGGCCGTAAAAAATTGCTACGTGCTCAAACGGAGAGAGAGATATTGCAGTCCTTGGACCATCCATTTCTACCAACTTTATATACCCATTTTGAGACAGAAAAGTTTTCATGTCTTGTAATGGAGTTTTGCCCAGGAGGTGACTTGCACACACTTCGTCAGAGGCAACCAGGGAAGCATTTTTCTGAACAAGCTGTGAAGTATGATTACTTGATCCGAAACCTCTTTGTTGATTTATTTACTTTCTTGATTAGTTGTTTATCTCAAACCTCATAGTCTTAACATGGTATGCTCTCTTTATCTGGAAGTATTTTTGCCTGGTTTTGGTGTCCGTGGTTTGTACTATTAATTGCTTTAGTGTTGACAAAGATTCGCCACATGTGTAAGTCTTATGGGCAACTTTTTCTTGTTTCAATTATTGTAGTGTTAATCTCTACAAACTTGAAATAAATAGCTATCTCGGCAGGATATAGCTATTATAGGTTGTAAAATCTTGAATTCTATAGACTTTCTTTGTTATTTTCTGAACTCTGTTGCTCAAGAAATTGACAGAAAATGGACTTCTTCCAAATACCGCAAGGAATACTTTTGGAATGTGTTTTTTTCTTAAAACTACTTTTAGAATATATATTTTTTAAACTACTTTTGGAATATGTTTTTCTGATAAAGTAAGAAGTAAATATCCTTGGATTATGTTACGTAACTGGTTCATCTTTTGTTTTTGGACTGTTTGCATTGTAATGTCACATGCAGTATGCTCTTCCTTTACGAAAGAGACATACTTTTTGAAACGGACTAAAAAGGAAAGTAATTGAAACGGAGGGAGTATTAGTTACGTTCTTTAAGGATTTTGATTAAGTTTATGCATAGTAGATTAAACCAATATATTTGATGAACTTCATGTTTTACCAGGTAGAAAGCACGTACTTAATTCCTCTATTGAGGTGCTTTAAACTTGTTTGCCTGTCTCTAATTTTGCCTAGCTTGATTTACAATTTAATGGAAGAGAAGAGTTTGTTTTAGATTCTGTTGGTTAATTATTCCATGAAGGATTGATTTTATCTCAAAATTTCAGGTTCTATGTAGCAGAGATCCTCCTTGCTATGGAATACCTCCACATGCTTGGCATTGTTTATCGCGACCTCAAGCCAGAAAATGTGCTTGTTAGAGAAGATGGACACATAATGCTATCTGATTTTGATCTCTCTCTTCGCTGTACTGTGAGTCCAACACTTGTCAAGCTGTCGTCTCTTGATGTGGAGCCTCTCCGAAAGAATTCCGGTTACTGTGTGCAGCCAGCATGCATTGAACCCTCCTGTATCCAGCCATCGTGTGCTGTTACTACAACATGTTTTGGGCCTCGCTTCTTTTCTAGTAAGTCGAAGAAAGAAAAGAAATCTAAAAATGATACAGGGAACCAAGTTAGCCCATTACCAGAACTTATGGCTGAGCCTACTGGAGCACGTTCGATGTCTTTCGTTGGGACACACGAATATTTAGCACCTGAAATAATCAAAGGTGAAGGGCATGGGAGTGCAGTGGACTGGTGGACCTTTGGTATCTTTCTTTACGAGTTATTGTTTGGTAAGACACCCTTCAAGGGATCAGGAAACCGTGCTACACTTTTCAATGTTGTAGGTCAGCCCCTCCGTTTTCCAGAATCTCCAGTGGTAAGTTTTTCAGCTAGAGATCTTATACGAGGCTTGCTCGTGAAAGAGCCACAAAATCGATTGGCATACAAAAGAGGAGCTACAGAAATCAAGCAGCATCCCTTCTTCGAAGGTGTAAACTGGGCTTTGATTCGTTGTGCAAGCCCTCCGGAGATCCCAAGACCTGTTGAATTCGAGAGAATCTCAGCACAGCAGCCATCATCAACTAGTGAGAAACCTGTGGCTGTAACTGTCCAATACCAGCAAAAGTCTGATAACTATCTCGAATTTGATTTCTTTTGAACTTGTTATTTTCTTGGTTTCTTCTTTCTTGTAAAAGTCGATTATCTTATTTTTCGTTAGTAAAACATACGACGTTGTACAACATTTTGAAGATGTGAAATCAAGATGATCATATATTGTTTGTTGTTGTAAGTTATTAAAGCAGTTGCACAGTTTGTTGTATGGCAAATGTTGTTAGTGTTGATGCTACCAATTGATAATGTGAATTTAGCAGTTCTTGTTTACATTCTTTGGGGATCTTTTTTTCTTCTTTTTAACCCTTTTGATAACTGAGAAGTCTCGAGGACATGTCTTTCTATCCTTCTCTACTTAAATATTGTACTTCTATTTGAACTTGTGATGTGTATCCAAGTTCATATTTTATGTCTCCTTCTCCGAGACGAACATATTGTATTAACTAGAACAAGTTATTAAGTAAGATGTCAAGATAATCGTAAGTAAATAACTTATCCTTCTCGACTTAAATATTATACTTTTATTTGAACAAGTGACATGCATCCAAGTTCATATTTTGTATCTCCTTCTTTGAGACAAACATTTAGTGTTAACTAGAACAAGTCATATGAAGTTAGATGTCAAGATAATCGTATGTAACTAACTTACCGAGGCTAGAAGCTCACCAGTCGAAGCTCAATGAATAATGGGCTTGTTCCATCTACTCGTCTTCACTTATATTCTAAGTTTTATATCATACAAAAATAAAAATTGTAAGTTTTATATTATACAAAAAAAAAAATTCATATTATACACAAAAAAAAAATTAGAAAAAAGTTATGCGGTGAACGTGGATCGAACACGTGACCTTCAGATCTTCAGTCTGACGCTCTCCCAACTGAGCTATCCCCGCTATGTTTTCAATATCATATATTTAATTTTATAGATGTTTCTAATAACATAATTAAGTGTTTGTTTGGCCGTAAGAAAAACTAATCACTAAATTTGATTGGTAATATTAAATTAACTGTATTAAGTATGGAGGAATTTATATATTTTAATATTATACTTTGGTGTTGAATATATATACGGCGCAAAGCTAGGTAGAGCCGAAGAGTTCATCCAAATCTCTCCTGGACAGAAAGTTACACTAGGTACTGTTTGTTAGCAAATGTTAAAAATAAATAATAAAATATGATCAACCTTAGTTTTTAATTTAATAATTTTCGATCTAATAATAAATATTTTTATTTTTTCAATTTTAATTGTATGAAGTTTATGATTCATGCAAAAGAGAGTGACCCTTTATGATAAAGAAAATATCAACCAGACATTCTTGTGAAATAAATATATTCTAATGCAAATGAAAAATGTACCTCTTAGTAAAGAATTAATGCATGTATGTAATATATATATCATGAGATAGGAACCATATTGTACCAATCGTGCAAAAACCTTATAAATTTACTATATAGTATATAGCCCAAAATATAATACACCCAAATTGTTAATTATAACATACTACTAATTTGTATAAAGGGGTTCAAAAATAATTACTAAAATATTATACTTTAGGTATCTAAACCCATGATTCAAGTAATTGTTTTAACCTCATTTTAATTATGTCAAGGAAATTCAATAACTTATATATATGATTAAAAAAAAGATTCATTTTTACTCTATTTGACAATATATATAGTTTTTCATGAATGTTTCAGCATGTTAAAATAATTTTTTTGATGTTAGCAGTGAAAGAAAGAACTCGATACTCATTTCTTCATGAATATTCATAGTTAAATTGATTGAAAGAGTAAACTCATTTCCTTCCCCCTAGCTTCGCCTTATTAAGTGTTGTTCCAAAAATATTTATTAGAATTTCTTTATTTCGTTGTAATTGATTCGGGATGTTTGAAGGTATTGTTGAAACATGGAAGAATTGATCAAATCTTAAATCAAAACACTATGTATGGGATGGTATGAAGGTTAAACGCAAAGAGCTTCTTCAATAGCCAAGTCGAGCAGTGAAGCACAACAAGTTAAAGTCAAAGACAAGACAAGCCCTACTCTCAAGCAAAAGGCTATACCCGACATTATTTTCCGACGATGTCCCCCGAGAAAAAGGAGCTGAAAGCCACCTTTGGTCGAACCTAACGACTTTTTTCTAAATTATTAATTTAAACCTCAATAACTAAAAAAAAAATGCTAAAATTTAAAACCGTGAATTTTAAATTCTGAATCTATTTCTGACACTACGAGTAGTCAACCCCATGCATGTGCACACACAAACACATAGTAAGAAAGAGAGTTGACCAGGTGTCTTGTGGGTGAGCTACCTGCCAATGTCTCACACGCTCAACATAGTTGAATTCTTTAATCATGTCATGCACCTTTGATGCTTTATTTGATAACCCCCCCTTCACATAACATTAACACACTATATATACATTTCTACTATATTTATTTTATAAAAAAAACATTAAGTTAAAAAACAAACAAAAGTTCAACTTATTCATCTTTTCATCACTTATCATTAGAAAAAAAAAATTATTTACAATTTTTGAGATATGGGAAGAATTCCATGTTGTGAAAAGGACAATGTTAAGAGAGGGCAATGGACTCCTGAGGAAGATCACAAACTTTCATCTTACATTGCTCAACATGGAACTCGTAATTGGCGTCTCATTCCTAAACATGCTGGTTTGTCTCATTATTTGATGTTCAGTATCTGTTTTATTTTTCCACTAATACGGTTTCTGTGATTCTATTCACAAAACCTCTTATAAAGGACATATGAGTACTTACAACTACACGCTCCATCACAAACCTTTCATGGTCTCTCATTAAACCTTTTTTTCTTTCGAGTCAAATATCTAGTGTGATCTAGATTTACATCAGAAAGTTTCAATTTAGAGGCCCTACCAAAATTGATATCAGTGGATTAGAATTAAGTAATTTCGTTAAAGATATTCAAGATATAAAATATACATACAAAAAAAGTAATTTTGACATATATACATACACATAGTATAATAATTTTTCTAAGAATGGAGAAATATTTACTATTTCGCGCTCCATCATATTATCTTTTTAATCCTTACAAGACTATGTATATAATGAAATTACACACATATATATGGCTAAAAGATTGTCTCTTATTTTAAACAGGTTTACAAAGATGTGGAAAAAGTTGTAGATTGAGATGGACAAATTACCTTAGGCCTGATCTCAAACATGGTCAATTTTCAGAGGGAGAAGAGCAGACAATTGTCACACTTCACTCTGTTCTTGGCAATAGGTAAAAATTTAAAATTTTAGCTTATGGTTTTACCTTACATTTCTACAAGAGGTTATTTTCATAAAACGCCCTTGATCATGGAATTTCAATTGTTTGTTGGATATTTTGTCTCCGTTCCATTATTAGTAGCATTACTATGTTGCTCAGACTCTCTGAGAATATTGTCGCGTGCCAAATATTCCTAAATACTATTTTTGGATGATTAGACACGCCCTCATCAATATTTTTTGAAGAATTCGAGCAACATAGAACATAAGAAGTTGTAGAAACTTGTATTAATTGATCACTAAGTATGATTTGCACGTAATCGAACAGATGGTCTGTGATAGCTGCTCAACTTCCTGGTAGAACAGACAATGATGTGAAGAACCATTGGAACACAAAGCTCAAAAAGAAACTATCTGGGATGGGAATTGATCCAGTAACACACAAGCCATTTTCTCACTTAATAAGTGAAATTGCAACAACATTATCTCCACCACAAGTCCCTCATTTGGCTGAAGCAGCACTTGGTTGTTTCAAAGATGAAATGCTTCATCTTTTGACCAAAAAAAGACTTGGTTTTCAGTTTCATCAACAATTTACAAATATGACAATTACTCATAATAATGCACCAAGTACAAGTCATGTTAAGCATGAGGAGAATAATAATTATAAAGATAACACAATTGAGAAAATTAAGTATGGATTATCAAGAGCTATTAAAGAAAGTGACAAGAATTGGGAAACAAGTGTAGGAGGAGCAACATCTAGTAATTTTCATGATAATACAGGATTTAGTAACTATAATTTTGGTAATTTGCTTAATGATGAAGAGGGTTCACCATGGAACCAAAGTTTGTGTAGTGGAAGTACATGCACAGCAGGAGGAGGAGAGTTACAACAACAACAACAAAACAAGAAAATTAGCAATGAGAATTGTGAGGATAGTGGTAAAGAAATAGTAGCAACAACAAGAAATGGATCAACAACTATGTTCAATTCTGACTGTGTTCTGTGGGACATATCATCTGATGATCTAATGAATCCAATGGTTTGAAGAGTTTTGTTGTAATAGGGTGGGTGGATAGAGTTGCTCGGTACCTGTGTCAGTGGGAGATAGCAGATTTTCCGTGGAATTAGTCAAGGTGCGCGCAAGCTGACCTGGACATCACGGTTATTAAAATTATATATATATTGTAATAGTGTACTTGAATTAGTAGGCTAGCTAGAAAGGCAAGGATGTTATAAATCATCAAAAGAAATGAAGTAATAAAGAGAGAATCGTATCTGTTTCATTTTATATGACATTCTTTCCTTTTGAAGACATTCAGAAAAGAAAGTCACCTTTTCGTATTGACTATATATTTAACACTTCAATTCACATAAATGTGCATCTTTGGTTTCTCTATTAACAAGTTTGTGAAAACTTGTTAATTGGAGAAACCAAAGTGTACAGTATTTCATCAATCGAAGGTTAGATGTACTTCAACAGATATATAGACGTCAAAATTGGAACGTTAATCACAAATATTTCCTTCCTGTGAAGACGACAGTTTTCTTTCCTAGAGCCTGAAAGGGTCTCACTGATCAAACGAGGCGCGAGGATTACACAAATCCATGAAATCACAACTCAAAATCCATAAACTTATAACTTTAATGGTACAAAATGGTTAAATGGAAGTTAATGTTGCTTCACTGCAACACATATCTCTAGCACTATTCGCATACTAGAATTAGGAAGTAGAGAAACTTCATTTACACGAGTGATCATCATAAGAAGTATCAACACACCCCGGTGTTACAACTTGTTTATTACTGAAGGCAAGGGAACTTATGTTCGTGGTCATTGTGAAGTTTTCGTTCTTGCTCTTCATATATTTAAAGTTTTGTGAGAAATCTTACTCTTCTCCCTCTTCATCCTCGTTATCCTCGATTCCCACCCAATGAGTAAAGGCAAAAAGAAACTCTTTGAAGTTCACCATTCCATTTTTGTCCCAGTCCATTTCTTCTGCAAAACAGAAAAGACGGGGATTTACACACTGCAATATATGAGTGAGGAAATGCATGGAGTATTACCTAACCTCTTCCGACTAAATATGATAAAGCCTATAAAACATAGAACTACTATTATTTCTTCATTATACATTAAAATCTTCTTGAACTTGATGGACAAATAGATAAAATAGTAGCTAAAACAAATTAGTTATTAAGTCAATAGACTATAGATTTATAGTGTCCTCATCATGTCCTTCGAGCACAAATATCGACCAAATCAGATTGGCGAGCAATGCACAAGAACAGATGGGATTGGTTCTGCATTTCGAGCATCTCTTTGTGACAAAGACTTGAACAAGTTCTCTTTGATAACAAGCTTAGTAATTGGTCCGCTGAAAAGAAATATGTGGATCGCATCATACTTGTCTTTCTACCATAAAGATTGCTTCACTTATAATTCTGGAGCACTCAGTACGTCTTCCTAAATTATGACATATTGTACATAAGATAAAGGAGACTCTGCATTTTCTAGTATGAAATTAAACAAGCAATGCATAGCGGCTAGAACTCTTTGAAGACTTAGTCTTCAGCAGAAAAACAGATATTTTTCGCATTGCTCTTCGACACACGCACACACAAAGAGAAAGAGAGAGAGAACTTACCAAATCTTCTCATTGCTATTCGACCAGAAGACCTTTCTCCAGATATAGTTTCATTAATTGCTTGAACCATCTCATTCCTGCTTACATAGCCATCCTTGTTCTTGTCCAAAAACACAAAAGCATCAACAAGTGTTTCAAATGTTACCTCCAGATTTGGTAGTCCCATTCGCGATTTCTGTATCTGGTCAAGGAATAAAAAACTTTGCTTGTGCAGGGCAGAAATGGGGATCTAACCGATACGTAATGTAGTTCTTCATGAAGGGCTACAGAATGCTACGAAGATGGAATGCATCTCCAGGAGAACAAGTAAGCAGATAATTGCACGTACTCTCCAAAAGTGTGGCCGTATTGAGGTTGGATCCTTCAAAAATGAACTACTTTTGGAGGATCTAACACATACTCAACGACATTTTTGGAGAGTCCGAGCAACATAACAAAGAACTAATCTTTGAAAAGCACCATCTCACTTGAAAGTAATCAACTAATGTCGCTTTCTGAAAAAAAAAATGTTTTTTTCCTAATATTTCTGAAAAACCATTAGTTAAAAAGAAAAACTGTGAGCTGGATACAGCATGCAGAGCAGAAGGATCATCCTTCAGAAGATAGACAAGACAAAGAAGAACGATGAATTCGCTGAACTCTATTCCCATATCTTCGTTAATATCACAGGCTTCAAATAGATCGCTGATTTCTTCATCAGTAAAATTAATCTCAAGCTTATTGAAAGCGTGTTTCAACTCCTGCGGGTCTATTGCTCCGTTGCTGTCTTCATCTACAAACAAAACAGAATTCTTCTCATTCTTTTTCCTTTAAACAAGAAAGGGAATTGTAAATATAAAAAGCAGTTTGTGAAGAAATCAGAGTTCAGCCTAGAATGTGCTTATATGCAAGTAAACGTTACCAAAATGATACAAATAAAAACTGGACAAAGGATGTGCAGCCAACCTACCAAATTCCTGGAATATAACTTTGCATTTTCGCAGGTTCTCATCGATTTTGGGAAATTTTAGGACTAAGCTATCAAATGATCTTATGGAACTTCCTTCAGTTTCTCTCCGCAACATCGCTTCAGTTATTTTGGCCTCAAGCTTAGTCTCTGGGACAGAAGCCTTGGGACTAGAGGGAGATTCATTCTTACCCAATACACCTCCCATTATAAGTCGAAAGTGGGGGAGCTGAACTTCTGCTACAATTTGCTCCAATCTGTGAAGTAAGGTTATTTGAGGCCTTATAGTTGTTAGAATCAAACGAATACGGCAGACAGATGCAAGTAGTATTACTCCTACTAGCATATCATGTAAACACTTAATTCATATAGTTGATATATAAATTTCAGCAAACACTTGGTATGCCAACTGTTACTGTTGAGCAAGAAAAGTTACACAAATAACCAAGAACCACTTATACTGTTGAGCCCATCCCTCATAATGATGCTTATCGATTTACTCTAGGCTTTTGTCAACGGCCAGATTCGAACTCATGGCGATGAATATCGATTTATGCAGAAATCTTGATTAGTTAAACCAGGGAACTGCATATTATTTTCAACTCTAATGAAAAAGCCATATACATCAATCATAAATATTGATGGTTTATTACAGCAGAAGAGACAACAAAGTTATGTTGGAAAATATAAGTTCCAAGGTTCAATTCATATTATATGGCCCTTTTCATCTGATGAGACTGAATAAAAATTGTATTGAAATACTGATATCGTACTAGTAGTTAGAATCTCACACAGCATTATGGCTACAAGCATAAAATCATATAACCACTTTATTCACATAGCTGATCCAAACTACTTTGAATTGAGATATAATAGATTCGTTAATTGATATATATATATATATATATATATACATTTCAGCAAACATTTGTTATGCCAACTGTAACTGTGACCTATCGACACAAATAACCAACAACATACCCAATATAATCTCACAAGTGGGATCCGGGGAGGGCGGTAGGATGTAAGCATACCTTACCTAGTATACAATCCCACAAATGGGGTAGCAACAAATAACTGAAAACAATTTACACAGAAATCTTGATAAGTTAAACCAGGAGATTGTATATTACTTTCAGTTCATACAAATGACATTAAAACAATCAAATTCCCACCAGGAATTTCGTTAAAGGTCTTCAAGTATATACTTCCTCTATTTCAATTTATTTGGTTGGTTTTGACTAGTCACGGAGTTTGAGAACCTAAAGAGGACTTTTGAATCGTCTTAAACTAAAGATATGTAAAATGTACGAAAATTTCCTTTAATCTTGTGATCTTAAACAAGCCATATCAAAAGTTAGTATTAAAGAGTTGCCAAAAAGGGAAAGAAACATTCTTTTTTAAACAAACTAAAAGGGAAACTAACACAAACAAATTGAAATCTACTGAGTATAAAGTAATTTTGACACATATACAGTATAACTTATCGACAAAGGGTGTTCAACTGACCACTCATTGTATATGGTTATTCCACTGATTCCCACTAATGATATACTTAGTGTAAGCAAGCTCGAAGTTTACATATTTAGAATAAATTCTTATTAAATAAAACAATCCAATTAAAGATAAGTTGTCCATGAGCATCATGGCATATGCAAAAGGGAAAAAATTAATGGTTAATGACAGGAAAAAGTAGGCTGAATAAAAATTGAATCTTGAAAAAACCTCATATCATAATATGAGAAAATCCTCAGTGAAAAAGATTGCTCTTTTATTGATTAAATCATTAATGACTAGTTAAAAATGAATAATCAAAAGAAAAAAAAACAATCCTATTTCTATTTATTTTATTTTATTACTTTTTTTAATTCCTTTTGAGGGAAAAAGTTGGCAAATTCCAAATTCTCTCTTTTTTTTTCCTCTTTTCCATCAGCAATCACAATGAGAAAAAGCTAAAAATGAACATCAACTCAAGAAAAAGTGAATGAAACATTAAAACTAAAAATATTCAAAATCACCTAAAGATTCAATCTTTACAAATAACACATGATATAAATATAAATATATATACCAAAAAAAAACAAAAAAACTAACCTTGGATTTTGCTAATCAAAAAGACAAAAGCTCTCCTCTGTCTTCTTCTAAGCTGAAACAAGACAACAAAATCAAAAGTGAAAAAGCACAAAATATTGTGCTGATTATATTACAAAAAATAAATAAAAGCTTTTTATGCTTTAATAAACTGAACCCATATGACCAAAAAAAAAAACTGATATTTGAGTAAAAATATGAAAATTAAATGGAAGTGGAGTGGGGGTGGGGGGTGGGGGACAGAGCTAGAATTTTTTCAGCTGTTTTTTAATTAAAAATTTGTAGGTGTTGTGTGGGTGGGATTTGAGTGGAAGATCCATATTTCCAACATTTGCGCATCACCCACCACGTATAAACCTGCTTCATTTGTGTTATACGATTCTTAATCAAATATCTCGAGTTTCAATTTTTAAACGTTTTTTTAAAAAAAAAAAAAAATTATCATTGTCGTTAGTAAATTGAATTGTGACCTAATATAATTTTCATATGTATTATTTGGACTCGAAATGTTTGATTAGGGTGAAGGAATTATATTCATTCCTGTTAAAAATATAATTGTTTTTTCTTATGTAATCTTGATATTTTTGACTTTAGAAACATTTGATTATTATTCAATAATGAATTTTCATGTTATTATCATTCATGTTCTAGATAATTAAATGTTTCGTATTGAACTTATATTCATCAAAATAGATTATATGTCTTTTTTAGCTGAGCATTTATCATAAATAACTTATTTATTCGTAATAAAAGAGAGATAAGTATAAATTCTACTCTTTTTATATTTTATTTTTGAGATCACACTAATTTTGTTATTATTGTTGTTGTAGATCAATTTATTTTGTATTTGGTGAATCGATAATGTTCAAATGCCTACTAAAGTTTATTGCTCCAGCAAAAATATTATGTCAAAAGTTATATAGAGATGGATTGAAAATAAAAGAGAAGTATGAAAACACTTTTTTAAATATGGTGTGAATTATTAGTTTTATTCCTGAATTATTGATAGTCTTAAAAATATTCTTTTACTTGACTAACTTAACTTAAATACACCTCGGATCATGCAACTTGAATGAAATACATCCCTAAATTTTCGTCAAGTTTAGGAGTGTTTCTAACACTCCTCTCGACTTTTTTTATTAAGAGTCACATGTTCCTACAAGAGTTTGAAATTACTTATTATGTCATGTGACAAATCGAGAATGAAAACGTATTTAAGTTCGATTAATCAAATAGAAAAATATTTTTAAAACTATCAATAATTCAGAAACAAAATCAATAATTCGTGTCAGATTCAATAGACAATCTTGAGTAGGTATATTCTTTGTGCTATATTGATATGGATTTCCACTAATATAGTTAGGTGGACAACTTTTTGTGAATGTACAAATAAATAAATAAATAAATAAATAATGGTACATGAAAAAACGTGCATTTTGGTATCTCTTCAATATGTATAATGATGATAGCATGTAAATTTCTAAAGTAGCCATTGTTTGTAAAATTGGAGTCAATATATCAAATTGTCAATGATCATGTTTCTTCAAATAAATTCATGATATATGTAGAATGGAAATTTACCATGAATTGGTCAATATTACATTTATCGTCATTTTATTGTGGTCCTACTCTTTTATATGAGTTTAATATATAAATTATGAGCAAGTTTATATAACTAGAATTTCATTTTAAATATACTAATAGATAAAAACCTATTTGTATCAGGTGTTTAAACCAAATAAAAATTAAATGACATGTGTTTGCAGTTTGCACATAAGCTTCTATCACTTAATCAATGTTAATTATATGTATACTTTCACCCTACTAAATTACTTAACTATGATGATTTGATATAAATATTGACTTATTTTTTTCGTATTAATACCATATCACCTATGTAAGGGTAAAATTTACAACAAATCACTTTTTAGCTCATGCATTTGAAATATAACTATTATTAAGAAGTTTCAAATTTTACAAATGAGACTCAAAGAATCTTATCATTGAATACCTATATATATATTTTTGTATAAATTATAGGAACCACATATTATAAGTACTAAATAACATCCTATCCCTTCTAGTTTTCTATTTACCAAAAATCCCTTAAAAGTGATGTTTGCGGGATACATAGTGTCGTGCACGTGATACATTAGGTTTGATACATTCCACATAGCGGGATACATAGCATTGTGCACGGGATATATTAGGTTTGATACATTCCACATAGCGGGATACATAGCGTTGTGCACGGGATACATGCGGGATACATAGTGTTGTGCACGGGATACATAGCGTTTGATACATTCCACATAGCAGGATACATAGCGTTGTACACGGGATACATAGGTAAATAAAGGATTTTTGAAAATTTTGAAATAAGTAGGGATAAATGGATAATAAGGTAAGTAAAGGAGTGCAGTTAAGTAATTTGTCCTATATTTTTTGAAAAGTGATTAATGAGCGTTATTTTACCTTTAAGAGAATCTCAAATCACAGCCATTTTGAGTCCTGTGGCCCAATCAAAGTTATGGGCCTTTTTTGCTTCTAAAGTGGGATGGGCCAAAATGATGAAGTTATAGAATTAAGCCCATTCAATAGCTCGGACCATTACTATGGGTGTGTTTGGTATGGAGGAAAATATTTTCCACCCTATATGTTGTTTCACTTGCTTTGTATCCTGCTATTTAATTTTATCATCTTAAATTCTTCCATTTTGCTATGATTTCTTGTTTTTTTTTGTACATAATATCCTCTATAGACTCCACTTGAGGAATTATATTGATATGTTATTGTTGTTGAGTTTAATAATAGTATCTAAATGAGGTACCACATAATTTTTTTACTTGTTGATGAGTATTTTCCCATTGTAGTGAAAAATTGAAAATGAATGGTTTTGAATTTTTTTTTACCCCTACTTTTCTGATAAGCAAATCTTCAAGATCAAAAGTCAAGCTGATTGAGTTTGCCAGATCGATTCAAGATTAGTCAACATCCGCTTCAAGACCATTCTTGTAAATCACCCCGCAAGCAAAAAGATACACAATAGTAAAGACAAAATTAGGTGCATTGAATTATGAGAATGAGGTGGGTAGGTGGGGTGGGGTGGGGGGCTCCTATATCTTGGCAGTGTCAAGTCATTTTTCAAGTAATGGGACACTATTTTCGTCACAATAGGGGAAGGGGGAGACACAAAGAACTTGTTGAAATGTCACTATTACAAGCAAAATGTTACTATGATAGTGTGGGGGTGAATCTAAATTTAAGGCTCACCACATTCATTTGGTCCTTTCAATTGTCCCTATCACTCACTTCCTACCTTTTGACATCTCATTTTCATTTGTCAAAAAAATTGAAACCTTAGCCATAGAGATCCAAAGTAGGAATATGTGTGAATTTCAAGATTTCAACAAATATTTTTATATTTTTTAATGTTTGTGTGAATTTTTACTTAGATTCATCATTTTATGGGCTTATATGAAAGATTAATTATCTGTCATTCACGTCAACTAAGTATTTATAGGCATCAAAGTTCAATGCCTTCTGATGTTTGAATATGTATTTTCAAAGTTATGGATAAAGATAGCAACCTAATCCATAGACGAGCAAATACATTAACTGAGCTTCACATTATCACAACATCCTCAAACTCGTCTTGTCAAACCATTGAATCTAATACTCACTATTAAGTTCAACCGATTCAAAAATACTTTTAACATAATCTGATATTCTTAGAGCAACTCCATGTTATTTTATAATAAATATAAAACAATTTATTCACTAAAAATTAGACACATCATACATAAAGCATTGATCTCTCGTGATTCCCATTTCCCACCCTCACAAAACGACACTATTGATTTTGATATGTCCTTTTAGTCAAATACATAAAAAATAAAATTAAAAAAATCTACTCACATATAATAATAATAATTATCAATATAATAATAATTATTTTTATAATAATAATAAAATATTTTTATAAGGGCACTCCTTACTAGGGGAAACATAGAATAAATGTATAACGACAATATTAATTTCGGAACCTTTACTGCACCTTGTCAGAATAGAAAATTTATTATAAATGATATTCAATTTATTCGTTTGAAAAGAAAAAAAAAACTTACGGTATTTGGGTAACTGTAAAATTAATTGATACTCCCAAATATTTATTTATTTATTTTCAGTCCAATTTCATTTAATTAAATGCAAAGCTGCAGTTCGACACGTACTGTTCCCTACGGAGGGACTTATTCTTTACTACTATGTAAATTAAGGGATAGAGAGATTGTATCTGATATATCAAGTTCGAAAGAGAAAATACTTAAAACAAGGTTTCAAATAAATTATGATAATAAAATATCAAATATGAAACAAATGAAGTAACACATATTATATTATCTTGAAGAAAAATAAACTATTACTACAAAATAGTTTTAATTTTTTAGCTCGTTTAGACTTGATTTAAAGTTTAAGAAAATAATGTTATAAATTTTTTGAATCATGTGATTTGAAATTAAAATTATGTCAAATTTATCAAAAAATCATTTGATCTTACGACTTTAAACATATAATGTTTGGAAAATTTTGAAATTAAAGAAATTACTAAAACAAGAAGAAGAATCATAGATAAAAAAAATATTAAGTCAAACAAATTGAAACAGAGAGAGTACTGCTTATAAGACCGTAAGGGATGAGGCTAGGCTAAACCCAACCTCTCTCATCTAAAGGGTTATCTACTAATCTTCTACTCTAATATTCGATTGTCATACTTTAAGTAAAGCAACATCATATTCTATCTAATGATCTTCCTTAATTTTCTTTTCCAGCCTACATCTACCTCTTTCAATTTTCACTATAACCAACTTCTTGCATCTTCTTATTGACACATCCGTTTACTTCATCTTCATGTAGTCAAATCATCTCAATTTCGACTTCATCATCTTATCCGTTACAAAAGTCATTCCCTCATTTTGCAGGATCAAGGTTTTTATCAATTGAGGGATCGTTTGGTAGCTAGAGTTATTCAAATATTAATAATATATGAAGCAGTTATGAGTGAATTTATGTATTATTGCATGTTGTATTCATTATGTAAATTTTATTTATTCATGTATTATAATGCGGATTTCTAAAATGTTAATGTATACATATATAACTTATTTCCTATCTACCAATCAAATATTGTATAAGTTATACAAAAAATAATACATAAATAACTTAAATTTTATCCAGCTATCAAATGATCCTTCCTCAATCTTTAAAAAGTTTACTCCTACTGTCCCAATTTATGTATAGTATTTTTCGTTTTTGAAAGTCAAACAATTTAAATTTGACTGAAAATTTCAAGAGTCCCAATTTAAATCATCATTTGAATATAATAAATATAATATCTTAAAAAATATAATAGAAAAATTATTATTAATGATAAAGATAAGTTAAAAACTAAGTGTAAAATTAATCATTAATTTTATAAAGTGAACAAATATTATTGAATATCCTAAAATAATTTAAACTTATTTAAATCTCAAAATTCGGAAAGTATACATAGTAAGTAATAAAAAACAGCATACAAAACAAGCAAAACGCAGAAAGTGTAAAAGAGTTGGCGCTGCAATCTTCAAAAAAACTGCCGAAAGAGAGAGAAAAAGCTTGTAAATGTTCATAAATCGCTACGATGATCTGAGAATTTTTCTCGAAATTGATTATTGAAATCAGAAGTTCAGTGAAATTATATCTCATAGCTCTGTCAATTGCCGATTCTGATCGCCTTGTCGTTGGTAGGTTTCCGGTGAGATTCCGTTGGCATTTCATTCCGGTGAATGTTATCGTAACGTTTTTTTTTTCATTTGTAGTATTTGTTATTTGGTGAAATGTGAGATCTGAGTTTCAGTTTACGGAGAATTGAAATTGAATAATTGTTTGACTTTACGTGTGATCAAGTTTGTGGATTCTTATAATTCATTATTTATTTTTTGAAAAATGTTGATAATGTAGCAATGTGAATATTGTTGATCCAAACTAGTTCAGTATTGCGGCTGAGTAGTTGTTGTTTTGATTATATATGTTGTGTTTTGCCTGTCATAGCATTTTACCTCTTTTTTATCGTTGTTTGAGCCGAAGGTCTATTGGAAACAGCCTCAGGTAAGGTGCAAACCTCACATGTGAGATTTCACTGGGTTTGTTGTTGTTGCTGCTGCTAATGGTGGAGCTAGGATTTTCACAAAGGAGTTTTAATATAGAAGAAGAAAACATGTGAAGAAGCTGAGGGGATTCAACATCTACTATGTATCTATACATAAAAAATAATTTTAACTTTGTATATACCATGTAATTTTTTGCCCAACCCCCTCGCCCCTACCAAGCTCCGCCCATGGTCGTTGCTGTTTGGTGTAATGTGAGATATGAGCTTCAGTTTACGGTAATTGAATACTTGGTTGATTTTGGGTGTGATCAAGGTAGAGGATTCTTAAATACCTAATGCATATATATTCTTTTGTTGGAAAAAAAAATGATGTTGATATTAAATTTATAGTTGGCTTGAATTGGAACCAAGTGGATATAGTTGATCCAAATTAGTTCAGGATTGTGGCGTAGTAGTTGTTGTTTAAGTATACATGTCGAGCTCTGCCTGTCTGTCCTGCTATTTCTTTAACATTTTACTGGAACTATTTATCAGTTTGAGGTGTGTCGGTGGAGTACAATACAATAACTAGAGTATAGGACTTGTTCTTTTGTGTTTATCAGCAGGGAATGATCTTTATTTCCATTCTGTGGTAGTTTGATGTATGGTTTGACTGGACTGCACACATGAATAGTATTAATGGAGCTTGATGTTTTTTTTCCTGGTGAGCTAGAGTACCCTTTGCAGAGTTAAATAATTTTCAAATTCATTTGGAATATCATTGCGATATTCAAGAAACAATGCTTGTCTTTTCTTTTGCGCAAAAATTATTTGTCTTCTTTTTATAGAAAGTCTGAGATTCTGGTGGCTTACTTGTCTTCTTTTAGTTATGTAAGAGCAACCTGTGCTTGGATGGTTTTGAGACGGAAAAGCCATAATTGCATTGAACTCTAGCGTCACAACTTACTTCGTCATTCTTTCCTCCTTGTCACGTAGATGTCAGGTTTGTTACCTCATTTGGTCGTTGAACTGAAGATTTTGTTGGGATAATTTAATTAGTGTTTGCTCTATGATGCTCAAGTATGAATGCTCTGAATAGTATCCTGTGTTCTAGAAGGGGGATCAGATGCTTATTATGATGACCGTAGAGAAAGAAAATCAGACTTTGAGAATTCTGAGGATGAAACACGGAGATTCAGAATTGGTGCTTTCAGGAAAAAGGCAATCAATGCTTCCAACAAGTTCACTCGCTCCCTCAAAAAAAGAGGAAAAAAGAAAGTTGATTACAGGTTTCCTTCGGTTTTGATAGAGGATGTCCATGATGCAAAGGAAGAAAATGTTGTCTATGAATTGCATCAACAACTTCTTGACAGGAATTTGTTGCCACCCATACATGATGACTACCATACCTTGTTGAGGTGAGTTGCCTTTTGAGTTGTATAATTCTTTGGTTGACAGTATTCTCGGTTGCGTGAGTTTTGGCAATTTTCAGTGATAACTTGCACTAAAAGCAATAGAATTTGACGGAAAATGACTCTTCAAGTCCTCCATTTGTCATGGCTATTTTGTTTTGGACCTTACTCACAGTCTAGTGAGCTGTCTGTGTCTGCACCTTGCAAGTTGTGTCCTTGTATTGGATTTAGTGATTCTTGTGCACCGATAGCAAGTATTACAATCTTATGTTAGTATTCTATTATTTATAGATTCTTAAAGGCAAGAGCTTTCAACATTGAGAAAACTATTCAGATGTGGCAAGAAATGCTTAACTGGAGGAAGGAGTATGGAACAGACACAATATTGGAGGTAGTTGCATACTACAGGCGTAAATTTGTCTTGTGATTACCATAACTCTAATTTTAGCATTTTGCTTCAACTTTATTTACTTATTGGACCTTGTGACTGCTCAGGATTTTCACTTTGAAGAGCTGGAAGAAGTCCTGCAGTATTACCCCCAAGGATATCATGGAGTTGACAGGGACGGAAGGCCTGTGTATATTGAAAGGCTTGGACAAGCTCACCCGAACAAATTAATGCGAATCACCACAATTGATCGCTACATGAAATATCATGTCCAAGAGTTTGAAAGGGCCCTACATGAGAAATTCCCTGCATGTTCTATTGCAGCAAAGAAAAGGATCTACTCAACAACCACAATTTTGGATGTGCAAGGCCTTGTATGTTGCTTCACTGAATGGATAATTTACCAAAATTGATGACTGTCTTGAAATCTCTGTTGCATTTTTTACACAATCTAAAACTTTATGTAGCTATATAGCTTTTATTGCGACAATTAAGTACTTTTGCTTTAATGTCATATCTACATGCATTAAACACTTAAGTGGGACCGCAAATAGTTTAGCATTCCCCCGGTATTTCTAAGAATTAGGTGGAGCTGTTGGGTCCTTCAATTTCTGTCTCTACATAGTTTGGATTTGCCTTTACCAAAGTGATTTATGGATTATGATATGCGGATAACATGTATTCCCATTAAACTTTGCCAGACAAAGTATGTTTACCCCTCTATAAGGTCTTTTAATAGTGTTGCTCCTTATTTTTAAAAAAGTCTTATAGAAGTGTTGCTGTCAGCTTACTGCTTATTGTTCAATTTCACCTATTAAGAAGTATGCCATTGATTGCAGGGAGTTAAAAACTTCACCAGGACAGCTGCTACTCTTTTGGCAGCCATGGCAAAAGTTGATAACAACTACTTTCCTGAGGTATTAGCTGTCATCATGAATGAATAGTTAAGTTAGATTTCAAGTGGTTATTCAGATTCCGTTGTTAATGATTTCTGGCATCTCTATATAGACATTACAACAGATGTTCATTGTCAATGCTGGCCCTGGCTTCCAAAAGATACTTTGGCCTGCAGCACAGAAATTTCTGGATGCAAAGACTATTGGCAAAATACAGGTGGAGGAAAGCAGGGGCTTCTTTTCTTCTACTCATTTGGTCCAACTTCAACTGACTGAATATCTGCGTTCTCATCTGCACTTTGCAGGTTCTGGAACCTAAATCTTTGGGTAAACTGCTTGAAGCGATTGACCCTAGGTTTCTCTCTCTCTATTGTTCATATAAACCTACCTGTTTGAAAAAAAATGTTAATTTCTGTATCTGATATTTTCTGTCCAGTCAGTTACCTGACTTTCTGGGTGGCTCTTGTACCTGTTCTGTTGAGCGTCGCTGCCTCAGGTCTAACAAGGGTCCATGGAGTGATCCTGAAATAATGAAGGTGGGTTTGTTGGTGTTTTCACTATTTTCTTTTTTTTATGGCTCTTCTCGTTTAAGTTTAAGGAATTATTTCTTCTTGTGAGGTGACCAATAGTTTTCTACTCCACTTTTAGCTTGTACATGACTTAGAGGCAAAAACTGTGAAGCCAATATCTGGAATATCCAGAGATCAAAGGAGAATTGATTCCTCTAAACAGATACGCCCACTAAAGGTGAATTTTTACTTTGACATTCTTAGTGTTGTTTCCTTGCGTTTATTATACCTCCCGGCTCCCCCTATTTGACATATTTTGCTGTCAGGGAAGAATTAATGAGACATCAACAGCTGAATCAGTATCAGATGTTCATTACCCATGTTCTCCAATTAGACGAAGTAGCAGTTCAATTCCACAGCTGTCCCTACTTGATGAGGAAGTGAGTGTTACAGTATTATATAACCATAGTTTAGTTTAAAATGTCATTTCTTATCAAATATATCAGGTGTTTGTAATGTGCAATAATCACCATGATGTGTATACCTTCAAATATAATCATCAGATTAGATTTATCCATTGCTCCAAAACCAAAGGGAGAGCGAGAAAAAAAGGGCCTCAATAATGGAAGGGAAAATAGTTATCATGTATTTATAGTGTGTGCAAATGCATTCCTTTTAGATATGCGATACAATTATTTTACCTTAAATCTTTCTCGTGCAGGCAAGGGAATCGAATTCTACCCCCTACTGTAGTTGTGATGAGCAATTCAGCACAGGTGAACTAGTTGATATTAATAAGCATGTCTCCCTATGTTGCCCAGAGCCTCCAGAATGCAATCTGACGAATTTGTCCACCAATGCACAACCAACTTCTGAAGGTATTTGTCATCATTGTTTATCTATACTACCAGTAGAATGTAGTCTGATACGGTTGCCAGCTGGACCTGACAACGTGTTTCTAATTATGTGATATTATTTATGATGAAGACTTGCTCAACTGTAACTTCAATTATGATTTGAGCTCCATTTGGATTGTCCGATATTTCTCATGTATTTGAAACTCGTTACTTGACAATTATATCTAATGTAAACTTGATCCCGGAGAGAGATCTCAAAATCGCTTATTTTTAGCCATACAATTATAACTAGAAGAATTTGAAGTGACATTAAAATTAGGAGAGTTGAATTCATTTAAAATAGTAATATAATGCTTAGATGTTAACAATGACGGTTACATTAGTACTAATTTTATGCTTGCAAATTAAATGTGCAAATTTATTGATTTCAACTGTTTGAAGTGAAATGGAGCCTTAATAAAATAATGTCCAAAATAAATATGTCACATGATTCCCTTCTATGTTACTGTGTTAACTAGGGGTAATAATTTTCATCATTAAGACTTGTTAAAAGAAATTATTTTCAGCAGTCAGAAATTAAAAAAATCAGAATTTCATCTCTTTTTCTTCCTTTTTGGTGTCATATTGATGATTGACATTCTTTTCTTTAGATGATATCTCCTCATCATGCAAAATTCATCTTACTTACTTTTCTTTTCCTCCATTGAAGGGCACAACTTTTAAAAGTTTCGGAGTTAAAACACTAGAGGACCTTAAATTTCATTAAATTTATCACCTAACCTTTTTTAACTGAGAAACTTTATTGTATCTGTCATCTAACAAGTTGATTATATTTTGACTAAATTGGTTATCAAAAGTAATTTTTGACTAAATACTGATTTTAGCCAGATTTCCATGAAAAGTTGCTAAAATATTCATATTCATTCCTAAGCCAATTCTCTATCCATCTCTTTCTTCTATTCATTCATTTCTGTGTGTCCACTAGACTGATGTGCATTGCCAAATCTGTAGACATTCAAGCAAGTACATCAGTTGATTTATGAGGTTATTAACTTCCAATTAAAAGATTGTGCTACTGGAACGTCCCCTGATGGGGATTCATGTCCCCTTTTTTATGCGCTCTTTAGGTACATTGGTGATTCATTGGTTTGAAACTATCCAGAAAAAGGTTTTGAGTGGATGCATGCAGTGCTTGGAAAGGAAACTGGTTCCTTTCATACTCAAACTCTCTGGACTGATTCGTGGTGTGTTCTTTGAGTATTGGAGGAAACAGGCAAATGCTTCCCGCTCTAGTGCATTAGAAGAAAGACAAGAAAGCAGTTCTTCTGCTTATGGTGAAGTTGTTCATAAATCAGATGATGCCCTCCCGTGCATGGAGCGTCTTCATAAACTGGAAATGTTGTTTGAAGAAATAAAGAGAAAACCTGCTGAGATCCCAGCAGAGAAGGACCAAATGATCCAGCAATCAATGGAAAGGATCAAATCAGTGGAGGTGGACCTTGACAAGACAAAAAGGGTATGCCTTATTATTGACAGTTATATAACTTTGAACTTGGATTATTCAATTGTCGTGTTTTATATTTTTCAACAGGTGTTGCATACTGCAGTGGTGAAACAACTCGAAATTGCAGAATTGTTGGAGAACCTAAAACAATCAAGTAATCATGTAAGATTTTTTACATTACAATTATGAACTCTGTTGGTCATCATTTGTCAGATAGCCTATCAACCACCTCATTTTTCTAAGACAGTTAGTTATGGCATCTGGTAGGTTTCTCGTTTTCCTGTCTTTTTCATTTTCATGCTTAGGGGAGAGGGGTACATGATAGGGTTGAGCATTGTTGAAAGATGAAATCAGGAAAAATCAACTGTCAAGTCATTTTGTCCGTTGGCTTCTTGCTTTTGCTTTCCTCCCAATACTTTTGACGTGGAGCATAAATTTTTGAATCCACCTCTGTTGTTGTTGTTATGTTTTTCTTTGGGGGCTGGGGGGTGGGGTCTTAAACTGGGTGTTGGGGACACTGTCAAGTATAAATTATTACCTTTCTCGCCACTACCAAGTGTTTATTGAAAGTTAAAAGGTTAATGCCTTCTCTTCTTCTATGTTTCTGAAACTCAGATCTTTTTGTTGCAGCGGGGGAGGTTATTATGTTGAATATACGAGAGGGTTGATGCAACGTGAGTTTTGACTGCTAACCGTGCTGCAAGGGCAGTAGATGCTAGAGTTTCTGCACTTTTGAGTACTTCTAATCCTTTTACTCAGAACTCACAAAAGTGTTTCTTTCAAGATGTTCATTATACTAATAATGTGTCAAAAAGGAAAAGCTTAAAGGAAACAGCTTCAAATTTGATGCAATAAATGTGCCTTTACAAATTGCCAGTGTGAAGAATCGGCTACGTGCTGATGTTTTCCAGGAGAACGTCTTGGCATGTGTTGAATAGTTCTTTCGAGTTAATAGTCAAAAACACATTTAAACTATGAGTTTTTCGCGAGTTTCACACCCAATAATTAGTTATTCCCTTTTCATACCTGAATTATCACTCAAAATTCATTTATTTTGTCTTAGTTGTAATCTTTGAGAGTTTGAGCTCGTCATATCGGGCTTGCCTAGTGCGGGTTACTTCTCCTATGTGGTTTGCGAGCTATTGCATAGGAGCGGGGGTTTTACCCTGTGCGCACCCAAAGGGTAGTGGTTGTCGGTTTCCTTTGTCATAAAAAAAGTTATAATCTTCAAGAGTACAATGTCCAAGGCACAAAGTATTTCATGTTCACGCAGGATTTGAGGAAGGGTCGTAGCTCAAAGGATGTGAGTAGTGACATAGACAATCTATTCTAATACAAATATCAGCTATTGCTTTCTCTATTTAAACTCATGATCTATAAATCATAATGAGACAATTTTATTGTTACTTTATTTCTTTAGGACAATTATATCAATTATTTGCAACATGTAAGGACTAAGGAATGCCACCGACATTACATTAAATGACTCCATGTGGGTTTAAGATAAAATAAAAATTGTCCCATTAAAGAGGGCAGGAGTTTTTATCTTTTTTAAAATAAAATAAAATTACTACTCGTATCTTTTTCCATTTGACATAAAAAAAAATTTAAAAAACTTAATATTCAAACAAAAGCGATTGGATAAGAATTACTTGCACTCAATAGTTATATCAAAATCAATAAACACATGACATATGTTTACATATAAATCTGAATTAGTTAATCATATGATTAATTGTTAGGTGTAAAATATAACATTATTTACCCAATGTTGCAATTAAAATGAGTTTTATGAGGTAGTATAATTTGGTATTTGGAAAGAAAACTTGACATTGAATTGGTCACAATTATTTGTATGATAATAACTATATATATATACATAGCTGTCTTGATTGATATAGTAAAATAAATCATTTTTAAATTTGGTCGCAATTTTTTCAGATCAAACACTTGTCGGTAATTAGCAATGTCTTTGTCTAAAATATATATATTTTTTATAATATATTCACTTCGAGCGTTGACTTGATAATATTATCTTCATTAATGACAATTCAACAATAAATAAAAGATCCATTTATTAAAAAAATATATTTATTTAACGCATTTTATATGATAAAAACTCGATTAATTTCTTTATTTAGATCAACAGGCCTATAAGTAATTTTTCAAAAAGTCATGGGATATAAAAATATATTGTTACTAAGAAAAGCCACAAATTGATAATCCATTGAATGAGTTAATCATATCAATTGTTTGTAGCCGCATATTAGCTAAACCCAATACGAATCTTTATATAGTATCAAATTTTTTGTGAAGTTTTTAAACCTACAAAGTATTTATTTTTTAAAACGGATTCGAAAGAAACATATTGAATCGGATAGGACGTTCATCCCTCACCATATTTTCCCATTTAAAAAATAACAGACAAAATCATGATATACAATGCTATTTCTTTCCCGATTTTGTAATTGTACTTGAAGGGAATTCTGTTAGATTAAATCTTATGCCAAGTTTTTGAACCTACAAAGTACTTTTTAGACGAATTCAGAAGCAACAAATTCAATTGGATAGAAGGTATACTCCTAAACTAGTATCTCCCATTTAAAAAATAATGAATAAAATACGGATAAGCATGACTACTTTCCCCTGGTGTTGTAGTTGAAGTAGCATTCTCCGAAGAAAATTATTTGACTACTGTTTTCATTATACGATCGGGGGATGCAGATATTTGATGGACAAGAAGCAAATAAAACTACACTCGTTTGTCATATTGGGATGATTCGTCAATTAGGTTAAACTGAAGTAAGATTTTATAAAAAGAAACATATTCTTTATATGTCTGTATCCAATCCATCCTTGTATCAGAGTAGATCGAGCCACTAATTTGACGTCAGAAAGAACTGTTTAGTTAAATTCGTTGAGATGCAACCCTTGCCATGACCTCACCTGAACGCGAAATATTTCATGCACCAGATTGTTTTATAATTAATTAATAATCAAAATCACAATTGTTTCTCCCCTGTTGTTGTAGTTGAAGTAGCATTCTCCGAAGAAATTCTTCGACTCTTGATGTCGAAAATATAGATATTTGGTTGAAAAGAAGCAAATAAAACTACACTTGCTTGTTATACTGGATCACTCGTCAATTAAATCAAACTTAAGCGGGATTTTACAAAAAAAACATATTCCTCATGTGTTCGTATCCAATCTATCCTTGTATCAAGCAGACTCAGCCACTGATCTGATGTCAAAATGAACTATTTAGTGAAATTCTTTGAGGTGCAACCCTCACCGTAAACTCACCTGAATGCGAAGTTTTTCATGTACCAAATTGTTTTTATCATTAATTAATAACCATAACCATCTACTTCTCCTTGATGTTATAGTTGAAGTAGCATTCTCCGAAGAAACATGATCACGAAAATGAAGATATTTGACGGAGATGAACCAAATAAAACTACACTCACTTGTGTACCGGGATCACTCGCCAATTAGGTCAAATTGAAGCAAGATTTTACCAAAAAACATATTCTTCATGTATTTGTATCTAATCTATCCTTGTATCAGAGTAGACTGAACCATTGATTTAACGCCAAAATGAACTACTTTAGTCGAATTCATGGGGGTGCAACCTCCGCCGTGACCTCACATGAACGCGAAATATTTCATGAACTAGATTGTTTTATAATTAATTGTTTTCATAAAATTTATTAAATCCCTAAAAAAATCAAATTGAAGCTTACATCAATTTTGTCAATTTTCAATTCTATTTAATAATATTTATTTTTTTCCCCATAAAATATACCCCTACAGCCAAAGATTATCTCTTTCATTCCCTATTTGGAGTAGAAAAATGTCCTTTGCAGAAGAACCGAGTGGATAAACATAGAAACTTTTCCCTCTTTTTCTCTTCGACCCAAATCTCGATCTACAATTAGTTTTCATTTTTCTTTGTGTTTAATCAATCAAATTAATTTTCGATGTGTTAATTGATGTCTGATTGTTAAATTTCTGGATCGAGATCGAACGAACCTCGATCAATCTGTTCCCTTTTGTGTTCAAGGTTAGAATTTTTTAAAATTAATTTCTAATTATTATATTTTCCGGTTGTTTGTGTTTATGCGCTTGTATTTTTGAATAATTGATAAATTTGTGGAAATTAGGGTTTTTTTTTCCTTTTGGGTGACCTATTTTAGTGTGTTGATTATGGATGATTAATGTTTCGGTATCGTGTTCGGTGTTTTGGAGTTTGATTTTTGTGTTTTTGTATAATTGTGGAATTTATGGCACGATCTATGATGCTGGATTTTGCTAGTTTATTTGCTGTAAATTTGTAGAATTTATTAAGTTTTGATATGTAGATAGTTGAAAACTTAAATTTCTTCTAATTTGGGCAGCATTAAATTTTTTTGTTAGAAAAGTTTTTCCATTTGGTTGTATATCCTAGATTGAATTTTGTGTTTATTAATTGTGGAATTTATGGTGTTATGGTTATTATGACATGATCTTCGATACTAGATTTTGATAGTTTATTGTTGAGTTTAGTAGTTGTTAATTTGTAAGTTTTGATATGTAAGGCAGGTTGAATTGAACCTTGATTTTCTTCTACTTTAGGGAGCATTAAATTTTTAAGTTAAGAAAAGTTCCTCGCCTTTGGTTGTATATCTAGATTGAATTTTGTGTTTATTAAATATGTAATCGTATTGCTACGGGCGGATGCAGAGCATAAGCACTAGGTTCATCCGAACCCTTGCTATCAGGGTCGAATTTTTTTTGTAAAATTTGGGGATTTCGTGGTCTCTTTGTGAAGTTAGGTGTTTTATGTTTATATTCTTTAATAGTGGTATCATATTATCTATTGGCATCCATGCTACAAGAAGGCTGAATGGTGCATTTGGTTGAATGTTTGTTTTTACTTACCTAGAGGATTAGGGATCAATTCTCACTTAATATGCTTTTCCTTCTTTTTTAGTGGTCATCCATGTAATAGAAAACCTAGATTTACCTCTGAAGGCTATCATGTTCCATGTCTTAGAGTTTGACTTTTGTGCTTTTCAATTGTGGAAGTTATGAAGTTATGTTTGTTGCGACATTATCTTTGATGCCAGACTTTTCTAGTTCATGTTGAGTTTATTTGCTATTAATTTGCAGAATTTGTGAAGTTGTGTTATGCTGATTCAATCTAGATATTTGTTTATTTTGGCCAGCATTATTTTTTTAGTTAGATGGTGATATGAAATGAGCTTAAATGGAGTGAGATTCATATTGCCGACCCTAACTTGTTTGTGACTAGGCAAAGTTTTTTTTTTTTTTTTTTTTAAACGGGTAAGGTTGT